TATGATGCTGGTGTTTTATAATAGACTCATTTGTCCATACACAAGAAAACAAAATAGGTATAGTTTAATATTAACCCATATCTATATATGCAACAATGCTATGAGAAAATGTAATAATTTCTAAAATATATATATTTAATACAAAATAAAAACTCTTAGCATTAAATAAATATGCTCATAATTTTATTTTCAATGGGATGAGAAAGCTACAAGAAAAATGAAGATTAATTTTAATTTTTTTAATGAATAAAAAATTACTTTTTCATATCATCCGAGCATTATTTTGTTTCTATTTATTTTATTTATTTTTTGAGTGAATTTTATTAAAATTAAATTAGCATGTTTTTAATAAATAAAGGCAATTCGTTTATTAATTTATAATATTTTCGTTTAAAAATAAATAAAAATATGAAACTATAAACAAAATATTTTTGAAAATTTAATTTTTATACGGGTGGCCCGTGCTTTGACTTTAACAGAAAGAGTCAAAATTTGCGATATCCGAAATAACGGTTTCATCTTCGGTGGGTAAAGATTAATACGGTGCCGTTTAACAGTCGAACGACTACCACGTGGCGGAACTTACTGGATGTCTCCACGTGGCACCATCTTACAATCGTCAGTCGAACCATTTTGTTCCACCAGGATTTTGTTTTTTTTTTTTTTTTTTTCGATTTTCGCGCTTTTTCTGGATCTCACAAGCAGAAAAGCTATTTATCGTCTCCCTTTTTCTGTAACAATTCACAGGTATAGTATTAGTACCTTCTTTCGAGATTTCCTTCGTTCTTTTTTTCAACTCCTATTCACGATTCCTTTCGTACTAGACTGGACTTACGTCTCCTCTTCTTCTTCTTCGTTATTTTTTTCTAATTGACATCCTCTCTGAACTCTCTAATGGAGTCTCTGCAAATCAACTTTGTAATTCCATGCAAATCGAATATGTGTTCTTCACAATCATATCGCGATTATAATGTCCGGCGAGTGAGTTTTGCTCGTAGAAGAAACAGAAAAGAAAGGTGTCTGCGGGTTAGAAGTGGACCAGTTAAAAGTAGCAGTGAAAGTGGGATTGATAATCCAAAAGATGGATTCAATATCGTCGAAAATAAGGATGAAGAAAAGAGTCTTTTACTGGGTGAAGAGAGGGATGGTTCTGGTTCTGTTATCGGGTTTCACTTGATTCCCCAACTTGGTACGTGCTCGCGGAAATCAATCACTTTTTTTAATTTAAAAATTATTAATTAATGTTAATGATTCTTTTTTTGTCTGTAATATATGGAATAGAAGAGATCCAATGCAGTTTGGTGTTTAAGGATGATCATCATAAATTTTTTATTTGTTAAAACTGACGATTATTTAATTTTAGTATGAGACCTTCCTTAATAGTTTCCCCTTCATTTCGTGCGGAATATAATTGGTTTAAGATCAACTGGGATTGTTTTATATTAAATCATTGTTCCTGTATGAAATTAGCTTCATACTTTATTTAGTTTACATAAACTTTGGGATCATAAAGCAGGATAACGCCAATGAGTTCCTTTACTAATTTGATTGATAATGTATCTAAAATAAATAACAAACTGGGTAATTAGAGATCAGTGCAATTTATTATTTATCTTGGTCCGTCATCTGCCAGCCCCAAGCGGAATCATTTTTTAATCTGAATACAAATGAAAGGTAGCTGGAATTATAGAGGAAGCTGAAGCACTGATAGCGTATAAGATAATAAGTTGTAACTAATTCTTCGATCCAGGTTACTATTCCTCTTTTATCTTATCAAGCTTGGGTTATATGTCATCTTAAAGGTTCTCTTTAGTATTTTCTAACTTATAATGATGAAAAATCTGTAAGAACTTTTTATTTCTTCAATCTCTTCTTTACTATATATTGTTCTGGAATATTGCTTTTTATTTTCAATTGCTATGCATGTTTTTGTATATGACTATATAATGAATAAAGAAAATAAAATTTCAAGAAAATGTTTTTATGTACTAAAACGAAGGCTTGATATTTCACTTGTTTGTGAGAGTGTGAGAGTTTTACTCTGTTTAGTTTAATTCTCTTTTGGCACTAAGATTTTTAGTAGAATTGATCGCTCAATTTTGTTATTTCACAATAATAATTATTCTATTTCAGTTAGCAAATATCTTTTATGAGCTTAGCATCTCGGTTCTTAATTAATTTTGACGACCAGGACCTATGCAGCATCTAATTGTTCTTTCTTTCTCTTAGAGCTGACTGCTGCTCTGTAAACTTTGAACTACAGCTGATCATGAGGTCATTGGCTCTAAAGAAGATGAAACCATTCACGAGGAAGAGAAAACTGAGGATGTTGAAGGAGAAGAGAAAGCTAAAACCAGAGTAACCTACAATATTGTTTTTGTCACTTCTGAGGCAGCACCTTATTCAAAGACAGGTGGACTAGGAGATGTTTGTGGTTCTTTGCCTATAGCACTTGCTGCTCGTGGACATCGTGTGATGGTCATCTCTCCCAGATACCAAAATGGTACTATTGCAGACGAAAAGTTTTCTGGTGCTTCAGATCTGGATTCTCACATCAAGATATATTGCTTCGGAGGGGTGCAAGAAGTTGCCTTTTTCCACGAATATAGAGAAGGTGTTGATTGGGTGAGACTATCTGCATGCTCGACAGTTAAATATATTTTCTCTACGTGATTGTATTCTGATTGAAGTACCTTTAAGCATAATTTTTTATCTATGTCATAGATCATTCAGCTCTTAGCAGCATTGCAAAACTAGGAGAAGTTTTTGATGGGACTCTCCTCTCTCTATTTTAGGTGTTTGTGGACCATGCTTCATACCATAGACCTGGAAATCCATATGGTGACAGTTATGGTGCTTTTGGTGATAATCAGGTAACTTGATGATTTGTTCAGAACCTTAATTAACAGAGGGATAGGATTTTGTTTCAGAAGCAATGACAAACCTCATCCTTTTCATTTTTCCAATTTCTTTTTACAGTTTCGATTCGCTTTACTTTGCCATGCAGCATGTGAAGCTCCACTGGTGCTTCCACTTGGAGGCTTCACCTATGGAGAGAAATGTCTGTTTCTAGTTAATGACTGGCATGCCAGCCTTGTACCAGTGTAAATCCTTTGCCTGTTATGACCACTTTCATTTGTCTGTTTCTCTTCCTGGCATAGTTCTTATACATACACTGTAATGTGGTTCAGGCTTTTGGCTGCAAAATATCGTCCACATGGAGTTTATAAGGATGCCAGATGTATTCTTGTAATCCATAACCTGGCTCATCAGGTAGACGTTTTCTTCTCACCGATTCCTTTTATTCTCGCTATTACCTTTTATTTTGATTTTGATGGACGTGCGGTACACCAATAAATATCCATATAAATAAGTGATAGACAAGGGGATTATTAATTGAAAAACTATGAGATTATGCATAAGCAATGCTGATATTTATTGACTGTTACATGTCAGGGAGTGGAACCTGCAGCAACTTACAAGAATTTGGGACTTCCGTCGGAGTGGTATGGAGCATTAGAATGGGTTTTCCCTACATGGGCAAGAACACATGCTCTTGACACTGGTGAAGCTGTGAATATCCTGAAGGGTGCAATCGTGACAGCCGACCGAATAGTTGCCGTGAGCAAGGTCATTAACGTTGCATAGAATTTTCTTCTTTTGTTGTGTTTCTGGTTGGGTAATTCACTTTTATTTATACAATTTTCCACAGTACAAGTGCGTTGTTTGTAGTATTAGTTACCACTTCTATCTAATTTTTTTAGAAAATTAATTACTACTTTGTCACTGTTCTCTTTCAATTGCAGGGCTATGCATGGGAAATAACCACCCCAGAGGGTGGATATGGTTTACATGAGCTAGTGACCAGTCGCAAGAGTGTTCTTAATGGTATGCTTTCTGAGTTTATGAATTGCTTAGTTTTCCAGTGAATTTTAGTCTTTCAAGAAGAAAATGGATACGTATGTTTTGATTCTTGAACCCTCCCAACTCACATATCTAATTATAATATTAGGAATTATAAACGGCATTGATACTGTTGAATGGGACCCTTCCAAGGATGAGCATATCGCCTCCTGTTACTCCAGCAACGATTTGTCCGGGAAGGTGCACAAATCTTTAATATGGAAAGCCCTTTTTCTTGAGACTTCTTTTTTCTTACATTCTTACCCTGTAACTTTGAAAATGCAGGTCGAGTGCAAGATTGCTTTACAGGAGGAATTGGGTCTTCCCCTTAGGCCTGAATGTCCAATGGTAAGATGTTACTTTTTGTTTCTGCAATGCTTGGTAGCTAAGATCTGTCTTTTCTCAAACTTTTTATATGATTGGATTATGCAGATTGGTTTCATCGGGAGACTGGACTACCAGAAAGGCATTGATGTGATTCGAGCAGCAACTCCAGAACTTATGGAAGATGATGTTCAATTTGTAAGTGCATTTTTATATATTTCATTACCACTTCATTACCTTAGTCAAGTCCCATTTCAATAAGTCTACTGAAGCTTCCCCGTTAGGGAGCTTTATCCATGCATAAGAATTCTTCACATTTATTCCAAATCGTAAAGCTTTATTTGTTTTAAATTTCAATGTGTGAGAATCCAGGTAAAATGTACAAACCTGATTATGTTTTTGTTTAAGGTTAAAGAAACGAAGTTTTATGTAGAAAATATTTGATAAATCTCAAGGATAAATTAGCAGTTGGTAATGAGCAGAAGCTTGGTATGCATGTGCACATGTGCCATTCTGCAATTTCAAGGAACTTAACTGGTGTCATGCAGCCCTTATATGTTAGTTATGGTTTCAGGTTACACTTAATTGTTCTTTTCTGTCAAGGAAACTAAACTCCCTGATCTTAGGTTATGCTTGGGTCTGGAGACCCGCAATTTGAGGACTGGATGAGAACCATGGAGGCTACCTACAAGAACAAATTTCGGGGTTGGGTTGGATTCAATGTTCCAATTTCTCACAGAATTACTGCAGGGTATTTGAAACTTGTGATTTACAGTTAATATGTCATTACTCATCAGAAAATTCATCGCTTACTGAAATTCTGAAATGATCAGCTGTGATATACTGCTGATGCCCTCAAGATTTGAGCCCTGTGGGCTAAATCAACTGTATGCAATGAGATATGCAACTTTACCAGTAGTTCATGCAACTGGAGGACTTAGAGTAAGTTTAACAGTTATTAGTAAGTTACCGTTTGATTCTTTATTTTTTTTGTTTATCTAGTCCAACTGTTTCAATACTCTGCATTGCAGGATACCGTTGAGACATTCAATCCCTATGCTCATGAGGGCAGTGGTGAAGGTACAGGGTATGTAGTTCATCCCCTATCCTTTTTACTGGATGATTGTTTTTTGGAAAATGACTTACAAGGTCGAAAGCTCAGGTTTAAGATGATTCCTTTCACTTTTCAATATTTAGTTGGAAATTCCAAATCAAGCTCAAGAAGAACAAACTATCTTAGTTATACTCTGTTTATACTTCAAGAGAAATGCAATGTAACATTGTTTGCAAGTTGTGTGAATTCAGTAAAAAAACCAGTATAATTTTCTGATATTTATTCTAAATAAGCAAAATGCAGTTGTGCTTTACTTCCAACAAGTCTTTCTCTTAGGTAGCAAATTATATTATGAACTTAGTTCTGTTGCAGAGATGATTTTTTCTATCATGTGAATCTTGAAATGCAGTATATCTTTGTTATAACAATGTTGTGGAATGTATTGGCAGGTGGACTTTTTCTCCGCTGACAAAAGAAAGTATGTTGGCGGTAAGTTCTTTATGCCTACACTCTTTGCAGTCGTTCTATTTAGTTTTTCATTTCCTGTTATGTCTGTTAGAGTGTAAATACTTGATAAAATTATTTTCTATTAGTTTAAATTTTTAAGATATTGCATTCTCATTTTAATGAATTTGTGCATAAGAAAGCGTGTTAAAATTAAAAAATTGATTGACTCAGTTTTTTCAAAAAATCAGTATAGATCAATTACTTACCAGTGCTTGGTTTCCCTGAACTCATGATAAAAGGAACCGATCAATCATCGGCTTGAACGGTTGATTCTGTTCCTGAACTCATTATCAAAGGAGCAAGTCTTGTTATATGAAAGTCGAACAATGGAGTAGATTCTATGCTTTTTTAAGTTCAGAGGTTTTTCAAGTTTTACTAATGATTTGACTGCAAAGATAAGGATGTTAAGCAGTAGTTATCAGTATACCTAGATAATGGTGTTCCCTACTGACAGGAACTTACAGGTGAAATTTTCAGTTTTCTTTTTCTTATTCTTAGATCTATTTTCTGGTAAAACAGGCTACTTGTGCTGTAAGCAAGGGGAAATTCTATGTTGCCCCAGAGATTCAGGACTCCTTGTTTTTTTTCTAGTATTTCAGTGTAATCTCATAACTTGGTGTAATATTAGCCTAACAATATGTAAATTATCTAATTGCTATAAAATATTAAGTGATCTCGATAGAAAATAACTCCAAGACAGACTGCTTCTTGAAACACCAATAGTCCCAGATATCGAGTATCCGAATTCCTAAATGTGAGAGAGTGATTTTTTTGACAGGCACTAAGAGTTGCTATTAACACTTACAAAGAACACAAATCATCTTGGGAAGGATTGATGAAGAGAGGAATGCAGAGAGACTTCACTTGGGGAAAATGCTGCGGCTCAATATGAGCAGGTTTTCGAGTGGGCGTGCATCGATCCTCCTTACGTCACCTGAGTAAGAAGGAGAGAAACAAGTATGAAGGAGAGGGGAAAAGAAGAGAGGAACCTCCATTTTTCAGGATGAGGTAAACAGTTTCTCTTATCCGGCTTAAAAAACTGTACTGTTTAGCTTTTCTTGGTTGAGCTGCTGTAGTTTTAGATTGCGGATATACTCGATTGATTGATTCAAAATTTTCTAAAAGAACTTGAATTTATTGTAATATAATCTCTTCTCTAAAAAAAATTAGACAATGGTATATTATATATATATGATATATGTTCATATGAACACTCAGTATAAATAAAAATAGCTTTTAAAAATATATTGGAAAATGTTTTGAAGAAATTGGTTGCTGGTATACTCTAGTAGGTAGAATTGTTGGAAACATGAAGATTTTATCATGTATTGACATAAAAGTATATGATATATAGTGTATGTTTAATTTCTAAGTTTGATTTTTTTTATAATTTAGTTTTAAATATTTTTTTGTTGTTATAATTTTATGTATATAATTTTTTTTTTATTTTTTAATAAAAAACAAATTTATTATTTTTGTATATTTTAAAAAATATTTCGAAACATAATTTTAACTTATTAAGTAAATTAATAAGTTACTAATAATAAAATATAGATGTAGTTTTTGTTAATTTATTAATTTAATTATTTATTTATCACTTAGTTAAGGATATATAGTAAAAGATACATATATATTATTGGTATATCTTGAATTTTTGTAAAATTTTATAGGATAATTTATTTAATTTTTTTTTTATATTTATCATAAAAAATATTTAATATATATCATAAAAAGTTTTTATTTAAAAAAATTATTTTATGTATATAATTTTTTTTTATTTTTTAATAAAAAATAAATTTATTATTTTTGTATATTTTAAAAAATATCTCGAAACATAACTTTAACTGATTAATTAAATTAATAAGTTACTAATAATAAAATATAGATGTAGTTTTTGTTAATTTATTAATTTAATTAATTAAATAATTTTTTTAAAAAATAAAAATTTGAAATAAAGAAAAAGTGTTAATAAATAAATTATAACAAAAAAAAATTATAATAGAATTCTGATATAGTAATTGCATGAATTTATTTTTGGAAAAATGAAAAATGTGTGTGGCTATAGGTTTACTTTTGTACCGGTCATCATCTCTTGTGGGGATAGAGTAAGGATAACTATCATTAGCTAGGAAATAAATATTTTACATCCAAACAGAACCTTTCACGTTTTGTAGGCCCACGTATAAAACAAACATGTCTGCATCACAAAAATTACTTGTATTATTATTATTATTATCCTTATCGTTATTATATTTATATTTATATGTACATAAATTACATTTTCTAAGCTCTATAAATTGACAACTTTTCAAACTCCAATATTATACTTATCAACGAGGAGAAAATTTTAATTCATAATAAATTAGATTTTCATTATTCATGCTTTTATTATTAAATCTGTTAAATACATATATAATCATGTATTATTATAAGTTAAGAACTTAAATTTTTTTACAAAACTCAAATTTATTACTTTATAATTATATTATGAGTTAACAGTGATTAACTCATAATGTATAATTCAGTAAAAATAATAACTTAAACTATGAATGTAGTGGTAAAATTATGATTATTACGTCGTATCTAATATTAATAAATCGTAACGTATTTAAAATATATATATTTTGTGATAATAAAATTCATTAAATTAAAATAATTATAATAAAATAAAATTTTGATTTATTAAATAAAAATCTTAACTCTCACTTAAAAAAAATTAAAAGGAAAAAAATAAAGCTGTCGGTCAAGTAAAATGATGAAAAATTAATTTTCTTTTCTTTTAGAATATTGTTTTTTTAATAATCAAACACATTTTTTTAATGGAAGCACGTGAAATTAAATCAGCGCTTGTCGTTATTAAAGTTGTGCAAATTATATGTGTGTATATATATATATATATATATTTATTTATTGTCGTGTAAATAAATAAAAATAAATGTCCATAAAATAAAATTAGAGTAATTCATTAATCAAATTAAGAATGAAAATAAAAATATTTCAAATTTATATACATACCATTTAGTTTATGTGAGTATACCTATACAAGTATAAATATATATATATATATATATATATATAAAATGTATATTTCTACAAAACATTTAATGGGTTGAATTAAAAACTTAGTTTAACTCAATATCTATTATTAATAGTATTCCTAATAAATTTTATCTTGATTAATTAGATCATATATATATATATATATACACACACCAATCATAATTTATGTTAAAGAAAAACACTATTTGATTTAAATTAAAATTAAACATCGACTAATTTATATGATATGTAATAAGATTTAATGAATTAACTAAACACATATTTTTATTTTATATTTACGCATGTATTTTTGCAATCGACCGCCGTCGTTATATATTGATAAAATTATATTTAAATTTCGATAAATTCTTAATTTTTTTTAAAAAATAATAATATCTGTACGAATGAAGAATGATTTTGACCGAATCATTCCAAATCCGCCACGTGTCAGCAGAAAACGACATCGAGGGATGGACACGGTGGAACATGTCTTGTGGGGCATTTCCGTAATTATGACTACTAACAAGGGTAATCTGATATCGATGGTCATCGTTCTTTTTTTTTTTTGGTTTTCCCGATAATGGATCCAACCTTCCCTTCTCTGTAAGTTCGTTGCTTCATATAAATAACAATCCACACAGCAAACCCTAGAGGCGGAAGCCATTAAGCAGGGTTACGGAGAGAATAGGGGAAGAATTTCCCCCTGAAAGAGACAGAAAACTCTGCTCAACTTTGTTTTCTGTTCAATCAAAAGTTGATCGGAAATTCCATCAACTTCACTGAAATTAGAAAACAATGTCTGTTTCCGTCTTTTCGATTCGATCTCTCTTTTGAAATTTTCTCTCGTTTAATTTAATTTCTTTCGAGAAACTCCATCAATGCTTTCGAATCCGAATCTGGTACACTATGCCTGCATTGCGAAGGGAAAGACAATCCTCGCCGAGTTCTCCAGCAAAGAACCAGGGATCGAATTGTTGGCTTGTAAATGCATCGAGAAAACCCCTCCGTACCATTCGATGTTCTCTCACACCGTCGGAGCACGGACCTACGTTTTCTTAATTCACGAGCCTTTAGCTTATTTTGCCATTTTTGATGAAACTCTCGACAAATCAGAGTCCATGTGGTTGTTGAATCGCATGAAATGCGCTTTTGAGGAGTTAGCTGAAAGTGGTTCCATCAAGGGATTTGATGATGATGGTGATGTATTCCATAATTGTTTCCAATCACAGTTCGATCCTATTTTCGGTGAGATTATGGCGATGGATTTGGATATGATGGATTCTTCAGGAAGCATGGCGGCGGATAGTCGGAATCCTAGTTTGGATTCAACGAAAGGCAGGAGGACTTCGATTGTGCCTTTGCTAGGGAAGCAATTAAAAGTTTTGAAGAAGAAGAAGAGGTTGTCCGTGGAAGCCAATGGCGATGGTGGTTTCAAGGATGCTGGTGTACTAGTTTCAGAGAAGAAACTGGATATGGGTGGTGATGATGTTAATGGCATGTTGTACACTAGAGATTTGAAGAACGGCTTGTTACATGGCGGAGGTGACCATCATCACCATTATCATCACCGGCAAAAGGCCAAGCAAATTTGGAGGAAGCATGTGTGGGTGGTTTTAATTCTTGACCTGTTGGTTTGTGCTGTTCTGTTCGGAATTTGGCTGTGGGTCTGCAGAGGGTTTCAGTGCATTGATGGCTGATAAAAATCGAATTTGATGAAGAAACTAAACTTATCTACTATTAATTCACGCTATTACTGTATTGATGCTGTTTCTATGAAGTCAATTGAATGAGAAGTAAAGGCATATATATATATATGTCTACAGGGATTATACAACCAAAGATCGTTCAATTGATTTCTGGGTTCGTTTTTTCAGCTTCGGAAGGTTAAAGGTTTCTTCAGCGGCGGTCTCTCTTACTCTCTTCGTATTGTTTTCAGAGGGTATGGCTCTCTCTGTTTACGCTTCTTTAACTTGCAAGTTTTTTTTTTTTTTTTCTTCACATTGGATGCCTCAAAAATGTGTATAATTCAATCTATCAACAGGGGTTTACTGTCTCTGTTTTGTCTTTCTCTGTTTCTCTTTTTCTTTCCTTTGTTCTTCAATGCTTTAAAGTTCAAAAGGAATAATATGCTTAATTGTGACTTGTTCTTCTTTGTTTTTGGCTGATTTTCTTTTTTATACCATTAACATATTTTTTATGGATATGCTTTCACATAATTTTGGAATTATTTTATGATTTTTACAATAAAAATTTGAATTACGATTCAAGCATTAGCTCATCCTGATCGAGGGTTTCACCCAATATATACAAGGCTGGCATTTCAATTTCTCTTTTCATTTCCTCATTTCAAGATTGTGCTTGAAAGTGGTATTATTACTTTAACAAATTTGTTTGTGTTCTAATGTATATGTTCTTCTGGTTTATAAGATTTACAGTCATTTCTCTTTTTAAAGTACTTCATTTATTTTCAAAAGTTATCATCTTTAAAATATACTTTTGCTTCTTCTTCAATCTGTTTTGAGTACTAAGTACAAAATTTAATTAAAAAATTAATTTCCATCTAAAACATACGAACTTGTAACGAATGATTCAAGGAGAAAGGAATCAACCATGAAGCAATTGTTGGTTAATGTGCTCCTCTTTAAAATGAGAGATTGAATGTTTGGTGCTCAAGAGATGCATCCCTTGCCCTTAATTCAATTGAATTAGACAAACTATAAGCCTTAACTTGCAGTTAGTTTAATTAAATTCTATGGATGAAATATAAGTTCAACGTTTGTTACGGCAATAGAGATATATATATATCCCTTAACGAAAAGGGGGGAAAAAAACGAGAAATTGAATTAATCATTAGTCGATTATTGGTAATAAATGTTCTGCTTTATGAACAAGATTCAATTTTGGTAACTATCGAGTTTGTTACCTATCATGACTGGAGAGATTAATTGCTTGACGAAAAAAAAGAAGAAATCGAGTTTGAATCAAATAAGTCATGACCTATTTCGAGAAAGGGAGATATGTCCCTCGAGGAAAAGAAACTTGTTATCTATATTCACCGAATTGAATTATGTGGATAGTATTTAACAATGATTACCCATTACATTACATCACCCAAAGAAGAAAAAGAGCCAAATATCTTGTCAAGTATATTAGCTTCTATTCATTGGATTGGATTTATGTTTTAGGTTCATACCCATCACAACATGGGAGATCTATCCTTTGAATCACATTTATAGTTTAACTGTATCCCTCTGCATTCATCAGATTGAGTTTTGTTTCAAGCAAATCCAGAGGGCACAAGAATTTGGGAGAGTCCTCTGTCTTAAATTTCAGACTCTTTTCCTCTGTCTCTATGGTCATATTCCACCGGTTTCCACTTTTTCGAATTTTCTGTAACTAAATCTATGACTTGGAACTCTCAGGATGTTGCTCTGGCCTAAAGGGATTTAAGATGCTTGAGAAAAATGAGACCCTCAATTCCTATGATGTGATGAGAGAAGCATTTATTCTTTTTTTAGGTATGGGAATGTTTCAGTGAACAAGCAAGCTGCCGCTATTGCCTCGTTTCTGATATGTCATGTCAGGGTCTCAAGGAAGAATTTTTACTCAAACACAAACTTAATAAGCTCCTAACTTTCCTTTTTCCAGGGATATTCCTAATCTTTCATGCTATGAAGTATAAAGACAGCTCAAAAATGTTCTTCAGTGTTTTTTTTACAAGCCATAATTTTCTCTCTTTTATGTTAACTTTATTATAATTCCAACTCTAATTCTCGATAATAATGAATTTGAGATTTTTGTTTTATAATATTCAGTTTTTAAAGTTTTAATTTTTAATTTTTTATCATTTTAACTCACTAGTTTTGAACTATATAATTTTTCAATTTTTCAGTCTCTATTGTCTAAAGTTCATTATTATAGCTAAAGCTTCCTAGAATTCCCTCAGCCAACCAGCCTTACAACCAAAATAGGAAGGAGGGGAGGAGGGGGGGAGGGGATGGGAAAAGAACATTAATCTTACTTTTCCAAATTTTATACATATATCATTTTTATACAAGAGATACAAAAGTTATTCTTGAGTTTTAATTTGCTTCTCTTTTTGAAGCCAGCTATACTCTAATTTGTCCATGGTAAGAAAAAGAACACTCAACATGTTACCAAGACAAGTAGCACCAATTTCAACAAAGCCTATGGCATATATAAACGTAATGCAGAATACAAATAGTTTACACCATGGTACAAAATTTGTAACTAGAAGCAAAATAGTGAAGAATGAACCTGAAACCAGAAATAACTGGAGTCCATAAATCACTTGCCATGTTTAGCCACAGGGAGTGAGCTTCTTATTGCCTGCACCTCGAGAATTGTCATCTTTCCAATCATCCCACGCCCTTGCTTTCTCTTGGGCCAGACCATCATCTCCATTCTCCTCTTCACTTGGTCCTGCTCTTTTATCTTTGTACCATGCAGAATTGGCTTCTTCAAAAAGTTTGGCATTTCTCTCTTGCCATTTCTTCATCATTTCCATCTCTCTTAGCCCAGCTTCCTCTATGCTCATTGTTGGCAACCTTCCACCAAAAAAGAAACTTTTATTTAGTATCTAGAGTATTGTTCTTCCTTATTCCCCACCCAGAATGCACTATCATATTATATAAAAGTTGCTTTTGAAGTTTTATTCAGTACCTAAATTTTAATTACTTGATAAAAAAAAATTATTTATAATTTATATATGTAATGCATAATTTAATCAAAATTCTATTCGTATCTTCTGTTCTACAATGATGAAATTGTAAATTTAGCCATAGGTTACATATCTAATGCATAACTAAATTAACTCGACTTGTATCTTCATTTCCGCAACAATCGAATTGTGTTCTTACTTGTTAACAAATGAATTACAAAAACACCTTACTTGAACTTAATATGGAATTGCTTTGGAATCAGAATATTATCATTGTCCACATCTTTATTTAATTTTATCTTGTAATATTATTCTTATTTTATAGAAATAAAATTCGAACCAATTTCAACCTCATTGCTGTCTTTACATAATATGCAATTTATTGGACAATCGGGGACAAAAAAAAATCTCTGGACCCCTCTTCCCCTCCCTCCCTCCTAGATGAATTATGACACAGAAGGAAGCAACAAAAAGACACAAAATGTACCTATGACTGGGCTGGAAGACCTGTGCAGCCATCCTTTCCCTCTCGCTAGTTAGTGGTCCATTCACAAGGCTTGCTGGTCCAAATATCATAGGCTGATGCCTGTGCTCATGTGCCTGTGAAACTTGTGCCCTTCCTTCGAGGACATCTTGCGCGAAAGTTGCACACGTTATAGGTTGTGCTGGTTTAGTATATCGAGCTCGAACAGCAGCACCACGATGCCATTCTTCTGCTTTCTTTGCGCGATCATCAAGAACAGCCTTAGAAAATTCTTTCTCTCCATCCTGCAATGTTGAAGACAACAAATGTAAGAATTACAAATATGTGCACAGAAGATAAAGATGGGGACATAATGGTCAAGGGCTTGAAGAAGCCTTGGTAGCAAAAGAACTTCCATGGACTTTTCATACAGTCTATAGATCAGGTTTTGAGGTATAAACTACAAACAAAAAACTTTTAGAAACTCATATCATGTGTGTACCCAAGGATTGGGGTCATTAATCTTACAGGCTCTTTTTCTGGTGCTTAGCACAAGAAGTTTGAACTAATAGATACTATAATAGTCCAAGTGGACTTTCTTGGTTACCTTTAGTTTCAAATCCTTAATAGAAGACAGCATTTCTTCCTCTTTCTTTATCATGTCCAACAGATCAACGGCCTGCAATGAGAATATTTGTCAGGAAGTGGCATGTTGTTATAGCATGAGTCCTTTTAAAAGCTCCTATAAGATCCATGAAATTACAACCTTACAGATGGCCAGAGAGATAGTAGTCAGCCAAGCCTGCAGAAATATAATACTATAAGTTCAGTGAAATAGCAAACCTCTACGAAAGCAAAAAAATCTTCCCTTTTTGCCTAAGAAATACATAGATATACACATATAAGGAATTATACTTTTTAAGAATATGCACAAATTATTTCCAGAAAAAGAGTAGAATTCAAAGGATGTCTGGCCACCACTTGAATTTAGGATGAAAATTAATCAAGAAGTGAGGCCAGTTCTGAATTTCACGAAAGGAACTCATAGCCAAAGGAAGAACCAATAAGATATGAAAAAAGCATATTTGTTTAAAACCTCCTGAAGTTCTAAACAGTAAAGCACCCCAAAAAAGTTGCAGCTTAATTCAATTTATGGAGGACATACCAGATAAAATTTATCCAGACATACTACAATAGTAGCAATAAAGCTCGTATTATCTACAAAAATAAGCTAACACTAATCCTCGTATTAGCAACTCAAAATTGTGTCCAATTTGGAGATCCCCAGTATCATAATAGCAGGTAAATTCCAAACCCACAAGAATTTGCCTAGTAATATTTTTTCAAATGCAAATTTTTGAGAAGGGGGACATGATTAATAGGTCTTTCAGTCATTTACAAAGAAAGCACAACAGATTAAGCACCAACAACATTATGAAAGACTAATGACTGGAAGACCTAAATCAAGGATGCAATTTGGAAGCGCTATTATTTTGAGTCCTATTATTCCTAGTATCCCAAATTTCAGTTCCTCAACGTGAGGACAGAATGTGGTTACAAAATGTGAGTCAGACTAGTCTCTACTGACATACAAATACTTTGCAAGTAAAATCATTCCTTCACAATTCTAGTTTGCAAGTGATAAACATAACTAACCTCCCGTTCTTCATCATCATCCACCAAATCCTCCTCACCAGTTTCAACAGGTGTGGACAAGGCAGCTGCTTTTGTTGAACGACCTCGCCTCTCCTTCCGCTCCTTAATTTCCAGCAGCTTTGATTCAGCAGCTCTTTGGCGCTTGAACCGAGCAATCTTGACAAGAGAACAAACAATTGCATGAGTTGTTAATGTTCAATTTCCAAATAGAAAAATTACAACTGCCATGAGAACTGCTTCCAGTATCAATAGTATACAGCAGGACAAGGTTAGACAACCATATTACCCTAGGTATGAATCTTAACAAAACAAAACTTTCATGGATAAAACTCCATGTTTCTAAAAGATCAAGAAATCAAACGAGAGTAACTGGAGCTACCTTTTGGGCCCTTCGATCAACAAACGAGTTTGATGTCCCTTGTCTGGATGTTTCCAACTCCTCCTCAGGTACAAGTTCCATTGCCTCACAAAGAGAAAGGAATTCCTAGTAAACGTGACCCGTATCAGTCAGATTCTATTGAAATATGAAAATTCTAAAAGAAATGGACCAGAATGAATCAAAGGAAAGAGTAATTATCAAGCAAAGCATCCGAATAGAACCTATTTGGGAGAGGGGGGGTGGGGGGACTGAAAGGAACAGAAAGGGAATGAAGCTAACAATTTAAGTTGAGACTGCGTAAAAGGGTTTTCATCATAGATGAAATGAGAATGAGAGACGAAATTCTCTTCCCAAGGAGGCAAAAATATTTTTTTCCTCCCAAAACTGGAGTAAAATGAATGGAAAGTGAACAAAAGTAGTAACTAACTATTACCTTTTTTAATGATGACCAGCGCGTGCATAATCGTTTCTACAAAATATAGTCATTCCCTTTTAAAAACCGTCATTCCCTTTTAAATTACAAAGAGAATTACGCCTGACAATCTGCAATTTCCCCTATTTTCCTCACTTGAAAAAATTCTCAGCTCGAAAAAAACATATATTTTGTTACCCTTTTTTTCCCTTCACACCTACCAAAATATAATATCTATGCCTATTTTGCTCTCACTTCTACTTCACTCTCTCTAAATAAAGCAAAATACTCTTCACATTCCTTTCAATGAGCAACATTGTTCCGTCCTATTCCATCCCATTTCTTAATCTCAATTCCCTACACATGCCCTAGACCTTTAAACTCAATTAACATAACATGTAGTAAATTTGCCCAAATTGGCAGCCATTTACCTTCAATTTAGCCTGCGAAGCCTTAAGAAGTTGTATCCTATCACCCTCCGCAACTTTTTCAGTCAACTCAGCAAGATAAAATGGAACCTGAACGAAAGATTAATGAGAAACAATAAATATGGAGTAAGTTCAACATAGAGGAACGGCAGTACAGGAATAAGCCATTGGCCAAATGAACTGACTCAATGCAGCGACTATCCACATTTATTGTTTTCTATCAATACTTATAGAACTATACCAAATTAGGGTCCGAAGAGAACCCAAAAAGGAGCTTAGCAAACTGAAAAGAGCGCAAAAGTTTATTCAGCGTAAATAAAAATCACAATTTTATATTAATCAAGATGACAATTACCAAAAGATACTTTAGATTTGTGGTGCTAATATCATCTTTGGTTTCGTTGGATGAGAATAAACCCAGTTTGCCGATCATCTCCTCGCATTTCTCAAGCGCTTCACATCCCTTCCTCACAAGCTTCTAATGTGAACCCCACGAATCAGAACTCCAAAAGCAAAAATCAAACCAAAGAAAACAATTCTCAAGAAACGAGAAGGAACGCCGAATCAGATATCCGGACGACCATACCTGATCCGCACTGGACTCTGTTGCCTTAAGATGGATCTCCCGAGCCTGCTCGAAGAGCGCAGGCAGAGGCATGTCCTCCATTTTCAACTCACCCATCAATAACTGAAAACCCTAAGAACAGAATGCAGAAACAGGAAGTAGAAGGCCTAGAAAATTAGACACCGATTGATTACTGCGAGAAAATTAATTGAGAGATTTAACGTTTCGTCCCTTCAAACTCGAAAACACGACGAGAAGATCAAATCAGATATATGTAGAGGAAAACTTGGCATCCGGCGTAAACTAGCAACATCCGCATCAGTTATGGAGATCCGCACCGTTTTGGTTTAAAAGTACCTAGTAATCATCGTGGATTTGTAAGAGGCGTATGTTAGCGTGCAGCGTTGAGCCTTCGCGGGTGATTGTAGGTGATTCTTGAATCCGCTAGAAGTCTTGAATTTGGTTTGGACCCAAACATGGCCTTCGATAATGCCACGTGGTAGTTAAATCGGATCCTATAAATTATTGGGCCTCCATCATCTACGGCCCGGCCCATTAATGCCCCGAATTTTTACCTGGCCCATTTTTCTGGATTAGCAATTTATTTATTTTTCAGATTTATTCTAATCTCATTTGATTTTTAGATTTTAATTATTTAACATGAGAATTAATCTTAATTTGATACGTAATTAGATTAAGTAATTTATATTTTTATTTATTAAATAAAAAATAATTAATTAAAATTAAAATTTTATAAAATATATATATATATATATATATTTGGTTGGTGGCAATAAATTCATGAGAGGAATAGAATTGTTTTGTCTTTTAAGGAAAGGCTTCATGTGACACTGGGGTTTCTTCACATTCTCTACCACTGTTTTAGGGTCAAGAATGTCACATCATTTTCTGCATGTCCCTAAATGAAATATCAAAAAGGTCTTCTGAGATTAAAGATTTAAGTGTTTTACTTAAAAGTTACAAATTTGAACTTCGAGGATCGATCTAAGATTCGATTCATTTTCATGGTACGAGATTGAACTTGGTCTTTTGTACTATTAAATTATTACGATTTCAAAAAAAAAAAAAAACATTTACAGGAGTAGAATTCAGTATTCAATCCTGATCATAAACTGCGTGAACCTGAGAACCAATAAAAGCTGTGTGTGACCAGCAATGCTCACATTGTCTGTGACTCCACTTTTTTTCTTTTTCTTTTTTTTTATTGTCTTATTTACATAAACTAGGTGAGAAATGAGAAAGAGGGTCTTTGCTTTGAGTATAATCAAATGAATCAGTTCAGATTCCAAGAGCAGATCTTAAGATATTCAGAAATTAATTAAATAATGGGTGTTAGTTGGCCTAATTGCCTTTTTATGTAAGATTTACAGGAATAATATACTTTTCAATCTATGTAATATATTTTTTAATCTGAATTTGTATGCATAAATATATAAATTTGCATTATAACTAATAAAATTCTATAGATTTTACATAGGCTTTGTTCAGAAAGTTCCTGCTTTACAGGTCTAGTGCCAAAAGCCAAAGCCAAAGCCAAAGCCATAGCCACAGCCACAGCCACAGCCAAAGCAAAAACAAATCTTTGCTGGAACCCTTCTGAAGACTTTTGTTCCTTTGGTGCGTTTATGATGACGACAGTGATATTCTTGACTGCTTCTTCCTTTCCCATCCACAAAATGCTCCTACCCAGGTCTAGCCCACTTGGTCTTTTTACAGGTTCATAGCCTTTTGTATTCTTATAAACAATATCTGCTTGTCTTAAATGTCCTTCCCTTTTCATAAAATGGAAAGTTAGTTGACAAAATGAACTGTGGGTCAATCTTGCTTCCTTCCCATTTTTCTTTCTTCAGTTAACCAATCGTGCTTGTTTCCTGTTTGAATTTATGCTTCAGTGAAGAATAGTTAGTTTGGGTTGGGGAACAAGATTGAATTAACTTTTGGGTATTCTTTTACTGAGTTGATCTTGAATCTTGGTTGCCTGTTTCATGCTTGAATTATTTAGCTTGGGTTGATAAAATGATTAAATTAGATGTTGGGTATTTTTTGTAGTGTAATCAATCTTGAGAGTTGACTGTCTGCTTCCTGTTTGAATTTATGCTTCAACGAGGAGAATTGGGTCTGGCAAGGTGAGAAAATGAGCTGTTGGTTTTTTTTTCCCCCTAATAAACCAGTCCTGAAGGTTGCCTGTTTCATTTTTGGTAAAGAGTGCTTGGCTGCCAAAACTTGCAGTTGTGAGTGGAGATTCTGATGGTATAATAGGACATGATGATGTGGCCCAGCTCAAGTCACAGAAGGTATGTGGCTAATATTTTGTATTTTGATATATTTTTTTGTTCAAGATTTATTAAAGGTTGGTAGGAGGTGCAATCAATATTGCACGAACAGGATTTTATTGGCTCCTAAAAAATCAAAAGAATTGAAAAATGAAAGACATTTTTCAACTTGTTGAAAATGAACTATGATTACCATTTCTGAAAGTAATTCTATTATTGTAGTTTGAGACAGTTGAGACACTCTGGAAAAAGATACCTTTTCCAAATACTATTTGATTGAGATATTGTATACTTTACTTTTTTCTTGTTAGTAATGGTGACAAACAACCAGGAATCAGTGCTTTTGCTTCCCATAACAGTCATTGCCTGAGCTGAAGAAGATAATAAATAATAAAAGAAAAGGGTAGTTGAGCAAAGAAAATAAAACAAGTGGGGTCAATGATCACTGAAAACCAGGGAATAATTTTCATAGTCTTCCTTCTATTCTGTTGCAAAGCAGTCTATTTTAACTTATATTTTCCATCCTCATACACGTGTAAATAGCCATGATTTTGATCTTCTCTGACATTTTTTATAAAGCACATCAGAAATGGATTACAAGTCCTGTGCAGCAGTTGGGGGTGTAGCTGGCCATTTTAAGATCTAATTCAGACTCTGACTTTTCCTCTCTCTGACCCATAACGCTAGGCACCTGGTTTTCTAGTTCAAGAAGAGTGCCTTCTTTTTAACATTGTGGTTATGTAAGTACCGTGCTATTTTGATCTTTGGATAATTCCAAACTTGACTGGTTCATGTGCATTTGTGTTTTGTACTGGCCAGTGGGTATCATTATTTCTCAATTATTGTGATGCTTTTTTATGTACAATTATTCTTACCAGGCTA